ATTAGGGAATGTCTGGGGACTCTGACTTGACACAGTGGGCTTTAACAGGGATGACAACAAAAAGATCCAGAACATTATAAGGGAATACTTTAAAAACCGATAAGCAGGGGCCTGGAGAGATGGCTCAGTGGTTAAGAACATTGACTGTTCTTGCAGAAGACCAGGGTTCAAATCCAAGCACATACATGGCAGCTAACAACTGTCTGTAATTCCAATTCCAGGGGATCTGACAGCCTCTTCTGACCTCCGCGGGCATTGCATGACACAGGTGCACTTACCTATGTGCAGGCAATACACACATACACACATACACATAAAATAAAAATAATAAAATTAAAAAACAAAACAAAACAAATGGATAAGCAGCTGGATGTGGTAAAGCACACCTTTAATCCCAGCATTTGGGTGGCAGGGGCAGGTGGATTGGTGGATTGCTGTGAGTTCCAGGCCAGCCTGGTCTACATAGAGAGTTCCAGGCTAGGTGGGGCTACAGGGAGACTCTGTCTCAAAACAACCAAAAAAAAAAAAAGAAAAGAAAAGAAAAACCTATATGCTATTAAATTTGAAAATCTAAAAGAAATGGATGTGTATCTAAAATTATGGGAGGCACCAAAGCTAAACCAAGATGAGATCAGCAGCTTAAACAGACCCATAACACAGAAGGAAACTGAAACAGCAATACAAAATCTCCTGACTAAAAAAAAACCCAGGACCAGATGGATTTACAGCAGAATTCTACCAGACATTTAAATTTAAAGAAGACCTCGATCTACATCCAATACTACTTAATTTATTCAAAAAAATAGAAATGGAGGGAAAACTTCCAAATTCCTTCTATGAAGCCAGCATCACTCTCATACCAAAGCCTGGTAAAGATACAACCAAAAAAGAAAACTATAGACCCATATCCTTAATGAACATAGATGCAAAAATTCTCAGTAAAATACTTGCTAACCACATACAGACACACATCAAAAGGATCATCCACCATGATCAAGCTGGCTTTATTCCAGAGATGCAGGGATGGTTCAATATACGTAAGTCAATAAATGCCATAAATTATATAAATGAACTCAAAGACAAAAAACACATCGTCATCTCAATAGATGCAGAGAAGGCCTTTGACAAAATTCAACATGCATTTATGTTAAAAGTCCTAGAGGGAACTGGACTGGAGGGAACATACCTCCACATAATTAAAGCTATATACAAACAAACCCACAGCCAACATCAGTCTAAATGGAGAAAACCTGAAAGCATTCCCACTAAAATCAGGAACCAGACAAGGCTGTCCAGTATCTCTACTCCGTCTTAATACAGTGCTTGAAACTTGCTAGAGCAATTAAGACAAAAGAAGGAAATTAAAGGAGTACTAATCAGAAAGGAAGATGTCAAATTATCCCTTTTTACAGATGATATGATGTTATACCTAAGAGATCACAAAAATTCCACCAGAAAACTCCTACAAATGATTAACACTTTCAGTAAAGTGGCAGGTTATAAAATTAATCTACAAAAATCAGTAGCCTTTCTATATACCAGTAACAAGCAACTGGAGAAAGAGTATAGGGAAACCCTCCCAGTTACAATCGCCTCAAAAAAAATTAAGTATCTCAGAATAAACCTGACCAAAGATATTAAAGACCTCTACAATAAACATTTAAAAAGCCTTTAAAGAAAGAGAATGAGGAAGACACCAGAAGGACCACCCATGCTCATGGACTAGAAGAATTAATATTGTGAAAATGACCATCCTACCATAAGCCATTTATAGATTCAATGTAATGTCAATCAAAATCCCCATGACATACTTCACAGAATCAGAAAAAAATTCCTAAAATTCATTTGGAAGTACAAAAGACCTCAGATAGCCAAAGGAACCCCAAGTACAAAGGGCAATGCTAGAGGGATTACTATACCAGGTTTCAATCTGTATTACAGAGCTATAGTTATAAAAACAGCACGGTACTGGCAAAAAAAATAGACCTGTAGATCAACGGAACATAACTGAAGACTCAAACGTGAGTACATGCAATTTCAGCCACCTGATATTTGACAAAGGGGCCAAGAACACTCTCTGGATGAAGGACAGCATCTTCAGCAAATGGTGCTGGCAAAACTGGATGCCTACCTGTAGAAGAATGAAACTAGACACTTATTTTTCATCTTGCTTTTTACAAAAGTCGACTCCAAATGTATCAAAGACTTTAATGTGAAACTGGAAACTCTGAAACTGTTAGAAGAAAATATTGACAGTAACTTACAAGATATAGGCGTAGGAAAGGACTTTCTAAATCGGACATCAATTAAAAACTAAAAGAGATTAAAAAAGCCCTTAAAGATAAATGGCATCAAAATAATAAAGGATATTGAATGAAGAAAATAATCATATGACTCAAAGAATACAAACCATTCAGGAAGAAAAAGCAAAAGGGAGAAAATCTTCACCAGTGACACATCTGACAGAGGTTTAACATCCAGAATATATAAAGAAATCAAAAAACAAAAGAATCAAGAAAGGAAGTGACCCAATTTAAAAATGGGCTAAGGACCTAATCAGAGAGTTCTCAGAAGAAATAAAGATGGCTGAGAAACATCTTTGAAAGTGTTCAACAACATTAGTAATTAGGGAAATGCAAATTAAAACCACTTTAACATTTCATCTTACCTGGCTAAGACCATGAGATCAAATGAGACCAAATGCTGAAGAGATGTGGAGAAAGGGGAATGCTCATTTGCTGGTGGGACTGCAAACTCATGCAACCTCTATGGAAAGCAGTGAGAACTGCTAAAATACTAAAATGAACCTACGATTTCCCTTGGTTATATCACTTCTTGGCATATACACAAAAGACTCATCCTGTTGCAGAAATACTTGTACAACCGTGTTTGTTGCTGCTCTTTTCACAATAGCTAAGAGATGGAAGAATCCTAAATGCCACTCAACTGAAATAATAAAAATGTGGTAGATTTACAAAATGAAGTTCTACTCAGTGGTAAAGAAAGATGAAATCAAGAAATTTGCAGGTAAATGGATGAAACTAGAAACTGTTATAGTAAGTGAAGTAACACACTCAAAAAAACAAAAGATGTATTGTTCTCCTTCATATGTGGATCCTAGCACTAAATCATTATATGTAAATATGCATCCAGATGTTACTGCAGGAACCAGGATTATGAAAGGAACCAGGGTGGTAAAGGGAAAGAAGGAACCTGAAAGACAGTAGGAGAAATGGATAAAGTGGGGAGTATTTAAATGGGAGGGGAGAGGGAGAGCTATACCAGGAACTTTGGGGGAAAAAGGGAAAGAAGGCGCTCAAGAGAGGTGGGACCATAAGAGACAGGTATTATCAAGGGAGAAATGGGGGAATTGGGAACACTTCAAATGGGGATGTCATGGTGGAAGAGTTGGACAGGGAGAGAGAGAGGATAGATAAATAATGCCTAGCTAGTGTAAAAAAAAAATCAGAGGAAATCTTATTAGTCCAACAACCAAATGACACATTATACATACAATATCTCTAAATGAGTCCCTGTGTGTAGCTAAAGGCTACATAGCAAGAAATAGTGCCAGACAGGAGAAACATTCCTTTGAATTATTGGCCAGGGTGGTCCAAGAGACTTCCAAAAATACACAGGCTATTGCCACAGCCCTTGATTGTCACCCACAACTTGAAGGTACTTCAGACACAGGATTTGGGGCAATGGAGTGGGAACTGACCTGAAAGCCACTTCCCCTGAAGGCTATCATAGCTTTGGAAAGTACTATGCAAGGTGTTAAGGGAGAACATCAATTGGTGATCCAACAAGAGCTTCAAAACCAAATAACCACATCAATGACCTGCACAGCATATATCACTAGTGTAGTAGTGGCAATTTTATCTTGGGGCAATCAACAGCTATCTAATTGGACTAAAAGTTCACTCAATGGGAGCAAACTCATGTGTGGTATTGTAAACATAGCCAAATATACATGGCTGGAGAGGTTATAGATCCTAGAGAAAACCCCCAAATGGTAACATCACTAGACTAATATAATTTCTTACTATGTGCAAAATATGTATCCTTATATTTACATACAAATATCCCAGTTACCACTTATCAAAGAAGCTTCTTTTGCACCAGATACTGTTACAGAGTACTACAACTGGTCACACAAAGATACTGTGACTTGCCCAAGTTTAAGTGGCACATCTATAATGCTCTCTCTACACCTAAGGCTCACGAAACATAAAACAAGGGGTAAAGAAGACAATAACAAATATCTCATTATTGAAACACGCTATGCAACAGAAGGCCAGGAATACAAAAGGTCACAAATGGCCAAAGTGTAGAGACTAAGAATCTGCAGAATGCTGGCCCTTGGACAGGACTCCTATTTTAAACTATACCCACCCAGGGCTCAGGGACCATTGCAGAAGAGGGGAGGAAAGATTATAAGAGCCAGGGAGGAGGTGCATGACCATATGGAAATAAGAGTCCTATAAGCTTCTGGGACCCTGCTCATATGAACATACAGCAATGGTGTCAGCACGCACAGGACTCATGCAAACTCAAACAGACAAAAACCCAGCATAGAACTGGGGAAATGACAGCTGACCCCAATCTTAGCTGAAGAAATATTGGCAACTGATTACTGCTGGGTGAGGAAGAGCTGATATTCCTAAATTGAGAGACTCTAGAAAGGCTGTCTAGACCTCAGTAGATGAACTTGCACTGAAAGACATCTGGGGATAACTTGACACAATAGGCCTTAAGACCAATGACAGAATGTATGAATTCCAGTGTGGGGGAGGCATTATGGGAGGGTGCCAATGGAGCAGGGGTATAAAGACGATTAAGATTAACTGAGATGTTCTGTATGAAATACACAAAAATTCAATTAAAAAATTTGAAAAGAAAAAAAAGGGAAGAATATGGCTAGAACAAATCAGAAAGACACACTATTCAGTTACAAATTTAGGAAATAAGGAAAGATACAGCCTGAGATAATTTCTTACCTGTTTTCTCCTCATCTTCACTGTCAGAAAGCACAGCCGCCTTTCGCTTTACTGCCTTCCCTTCTTCCCCCTCCTTCTCTTCCTCATCGTCACTGTCCACTTTTTGCCTTTTGGGTTCATCCGCCTCGCTGTCAGAGCTGTGGAACCTTTTTGTGTCTACATGGCCATCCGATTCATTCTGCACCTCAGAATCTTCCCTCTTATTATCCCCGTCTCTGTCACCAGACACCAGCTTCTCTTTGTGTCTGGAGGTATCTTCGGCTTCAGAATCACTTGCAGGTCCTTTCTGAGGCTCCTCACTCTCAGAGTCACTGACTTGGGGTTTGGGAAGTTCCTCATTTTCTGAGTCACTGGCCTGGTGCCTTGGGGGACCCTCGCTTTCAGAGTCACTGACTCGGGGCTTGGGGAGCTCCTCACTTTCTGAATCACTCATCTGAGGTTTGGGAGGCTCCTCACTTTCAGAGTCACTGGCCTGGTGCCTTGGGGGACCCTCACTTTCTGAATCACTGACTCGGGGTTTGGGGAGCTCTTCGTTTTCAGAGTCACTGCCCTGGTGCCTTGGGGGACCCTCGCTTTCAGAGTCACTGACTCGGGGTTTGGGAAGCTCCTCACTTTCCGAATCAGTCATCTGAGGTTTGGGAGGCTCCTCACTTTCTGAGTCACTGGCCTGGGGCCTTGGAGGCTCCTCACTGTCAGACTCACTGGCCTGAGGTTTCAGGGTGTCCTCAGCTTCAGAGTCACTGGCAGGACTCTTTGGGAGCTCTTCTACCTCAGAGTCACTGGCAGCATGCTTTCTCACCTCTTCGTTCTCAGAGTCACTTGCATGACCATTAAGAAGCTCGTTTTCAGAGTCACTCCCAGGAAGTTTCCTGGTCTCCTCACTCTCTGAGTCACTCCCATGTTGGTTGGCATCCTCGTTTTCAGAATCACTGACCGGAGGCTCTGCATGCTCCTCCGATTCAGAGTCACTGTCCTTTGGCCTCTGAAGCTCCTCACTTTCAGAGTCACTAGCATTAAGATTGGAGGGCTCATCGTTTTCAGAGTCTGTCCCAGGATGTCTCTTGGTCAAGTCATCTTCTCGATCACTTGTTTCATTCTAAAAAATGAGAAAAATTAGCAATGTGCAAAAAAAAAAAAAAAAAAAGGTGAAATCTTAAAATTGTTCAGCAATTTTTTAAATATAGGAATGTATACATACTTAATGAAGAATATTCATCTTACACCTATAAAGAAACATCTCACTTTAAATTGAGGCCAGTGTGAGAAATGAATCATCAATCTAGCCCCCAATGAGAAATACAACCAAATCTGTAAAGCATACACAGAGATTATGATGAAGGGGACACTATTTTTAAAAAGCTAGATTTTAAAAGCAAAGCTTAACTTCCTCATATAATTCTAATCACCCAAAATCTCTTTTTCAAAGAAATATAAATATACAACAAAGTTTTTTTAAAAAAACAAATTCAGGGCTGGAGAGATGGCTCAGCGATTAAGAACACTGACTGTTCTTGCAGAAGACTCAGGTTCGAATCCCAGTACCCACATGGCAACTAACAACTGTCCGTAACTCCAGTTCCAGGGGATCCAACAGCCTCTTCTGTCCTCTGTGGGCATCGCATGACACAGGTGCACTTACCAACATGCAGGCATAACACTCATACACATAAAATAAAAATAAAATAAAATAAAATTTTTAATTCTTAAAC